TGGGCTATGGCTGTTCTTCACTGGCGATTTCACGTATCCTGACGTGGGAACACAACTAGAGCAGCAGAGTTTCTTGCATGCCTCTCTCGGGGCGTATACAGTTCTTGTTCGGAACCTGTCGCCGAAGGAGCAGCTCGGCGTTTGATCATTTCACTCAAGCTTTACACCAACTGAAACTGCATGGAACCACATGAAAGGGTGTACATGGCAAAAGATACAATAACAGTGAGTAAAATACTTTCGCAGCTTACAAGTGTGCAGATGATGACAAACAAAAACGTCATGGACTACGTTAACCGCGTTCGTACACTACGAGATCAACTGGAGAAGAGTGGAGGATACTTCCCTCGTGAGATGTATCTCACGGTCCTTCTTGCTGGCCTTGGACCCGAATGGCGACAGACGCACGCCTTCCTACGAATGAACCCGAATCTTTCCGCAGTTGAAATTTCTTCATATCTTCAAGCAGAACAGCAAGACCTTGACCTGCAGTCACAACGCAATCAGAAGAAAGGGGTTCATTTAAGTTTCTACTCCAATCCAGAGCCACAACAATAACATCCTCCAAAATATCCTTTCTGCCATTTTTGAAAGAAACCAGGACACACTTACCAAAACTTTCGCAGCCGTCATCAAAATCGTCGCAGCAATTCACAGCCGTATCACTGTTCGCAGCAAATACCGCAGCAGTTACCGAAGACACAACAGCCAACGCAGCAGTCAACGTCTCAGCCGCAGCAGATGCCGAAACCGCCGCAGAATCCATCGCTGCCGCAGAATCGTCCGCCGGTCTTTGCATCTGCAACATCAGGAAAAGGGGTTTTTGGATGTGTTACAATAGTTGATGTTTCAGAAACAGATTTCGAGGCACACCTTGAAGAAACTACAAGTGCTGAGGGCATTCCCTTACCGCAAGTTTACGCTAACCTTGCTCGAGTCATTTCAGGTCCAAATACTTGGTATCTTGACAGTTGTTGCGGTTGGCACATGTACTCCTCTGAAACAAGCTTGATTACCAACCAGCGACCACTTCGTCGTCCGATACCTATCATAGTCGCAAACGGACAAACGATTATGGCACGTTCTGTTGAGAGCGTAATGCTCGAATCAGTCGACACGGGATACTTACTCCACGTTACCAATGTTCTAATCGTCGCCGGTCTTGGATTCAATCTACTTTCAACAGCTCAACTCCTGGCACAGAAAATTAAGACACAGGGCAATTGTGAAACAATGGATAAAAAATTATGGCACAGCCCAACAAATACTTACCTCGGCCGTGCTGCTACTCAACATGGAGTTTCAGTTCTTCAGTTTACGGCACAGGGAACTTTTGGTGATTCTGAATGCGTCCTTGCACTTGGTCCCTGGATCACCTAGAAGAAACAGATTATCAGCACGTGGACATTGATTTTCGAGCAACTACTGTGCCTACATCTTCTCGAACTGCAGCCGCCGTACTTACCGCATTAGATACCTGGGAGTTTAGTACCGCCGATGCAGGCGCCAACGCTTGGCGGACTTTTTATACTACTCGCGAAGCTCTTCAAGGGACTCCAGCTCCACTTTGGGGCGAAATTAGCGGACTTGCAGCTGATGAACCGAATGTCGATAAAGGAGCTGAACAGGGAGAAGTCATTGAGCAGCCGAGTCCAACAGTCATTGTCACAGAACCACCTGCCATCACATCAACAGAAGCAGCATCAGAAGTTGTCGTTACAACTGCAGAAGAACCATCAAACATCACGTTACCACTTACCCGTTTCGTCGAAGCAGAGATTGACATATCACCAGTACTTTCTCCATTTATAATTTCTTCATTTTATACTAACTCCGATTTTTACCTGCGATCATCAGGACACAAAGCCACAGAAGACATTTGGCATGAGCGGTTAAGACATCCATCACAGGGGACTCTTAATCATTCAATACGAGCAGCAGTTCTTGATAAAAATAGTCTTCTTTTACCTGACGGCACGGAGATGAAGCCGCAGTCTCGTCCCACGGTCTGCACCACGTGCCCGGTCGCCAATCTTTCCCACGATCCGTTTCCAAGTCATTTTCTTCGATCCACACGTTACAAGCTCATGCAGAAGGTTTACAGCGATATACTTAACTTACCTGAAGCAGGACCTAAGGACGAGCAGTATGTAATAACGTTCATCGAAGCATCTACTCGCTATGTTTGGACAGCAAACCTTCCTGCTCGACATCTCGCCCATTCAGTCTTTGTCACATGGCTCGCCGTCGCTGAACGAGAGTCTGGTGTCAAACTGCAAGAATTCCAAAGTGACGGCATCAAACGGAAGCAGTCACTACCACACGCACAACAACAGATGGGGGTAGCTGAGAGGATGAACCGGACTCTGCAAGAGAAGATGCGTGCTCTGCTGACGCAGGCAGCCCTTTCGCCTCGTTTTTTGCCGTATGCGATGGACCATGCTGTAATGTTACACAACCTGATGTCATCCATGTCACTGCCCGAATTTTCATCTCCGCACCTGCAATGGACACGTACACTGGGAAGCACCAAACTTTTACGAGTTTTCGGGTGTGTCGTGTAGTTTCGTCTTACAACTGCAGCACTCGGCAAATTTTCAGAAAGGGCAAAATGGGGGGTACATCTCGGCATCGAAAAACAGTATCATGCATGGAAGATTTTGGATCTTCGCTCCAACCAAATCGTCCCTTCACGTGATTGTCTTTTCTATGAAAGACTCACCTTGCCCGTTTTTCGTGCCCACCAGGCAGCAGCTGCCAACCCTACCAGGCTGTTCGAGGGCTCGCATGCATTTGCAACAGACGAAGCCGAAGCTGATACACAGGACGAAACAGTTTCTGAAGCATCCGAAGCTGCCGCAGCTGACATTCCCAAACCTATAACCTTGACTGGCATACCTGAGTTTATTCCACTTGCAGATGCTGGCTCAGATGATGTTCGCGAAGTTTACCTCAGTTACGAACGCGATCACCAACAGCAGCCGATGCCTGTCGTCTCCGACGAAGCAATTTGTGCTACACCTGACGAAATTGGGGGGGAAGAAGGACCAGAAGAAAATTTCGCAGGTGCAAACGAAGAACGTGCGCGTTTTACAGAAACAGGATTACAGATACTTAGATTTGCAGTCGGAATACAGTGCAACGACAGTAAGATACCTGAACCAAAAACTGTTTGACAAGCTCTTACGAGTCCTCACCGAGAGAAATGGTGCGAAGCCATGGACAGAGAGCTAGCAGCTCTCAAGAGTCGCGGAACATGGGAGTTAATACCGACATCAGAAGTGCAAGGGAACAAAGTACTCACCGGAAAATGGGTCTTCCGCGTCAAGACTAATGCAGATGGCTCTTTTGAAAATTTCAAAGCGCGATGGGTCGTCCGCGGGTTCGAGCAGACTTACAGCATCGACTATGAATTAACCTTTGCCCCTGTCGGCCGACACACAAGCGTTCGAATTCTGCTATGTGTCGCCGCCTGCCGTAATCTGCGACTTCGACAAATCGACGTGTCAAATGCTTTTCTCTTCGCACCCGTCGACACACTCATCCTGGTAGAGTAACCGCACTCGTACACTACTAATCCACCGAGCGTTTGCCGTCTCAGAAAATCCCTCTACGGCATTAAACAGGCACCACGGCTCTGGCAACAGTACCTTCACTCACAGCTTGTCGCTGCCGGATTCCGTCAGTTACCGCATGACCAGGGAATGTATCTTCTAACCGACGGCAGCAACTACATTCTACACGTCGCCTACGTCGGCGATATCCTCTATGTCAGTACTACTGATTCGCTCGCTGATACCTTCATACTGAAACTACAGAAAAATCTACAGCTTACCGTCTCCGAAACAGTCGCACAGTTTCTCGGTCTTAACATTACCCTCTCACCGACGTCGATTCACCTCACCGCTTCGAAGTACGCAGCGACGCTCGCTGCCCGCTTCAGTCTTACTCCTACTGCAGTTTCTACACTGTACCGATCTCTACCGACTGATTATAACCCGAATACCGCACTGTTGAGTCCAACTGGTTTACAAACCTATCAACACCAGTTAGGCTGTCTACTCTTCGCCGCTGTTACTTGCCGTACAAATCTAGCTTACGCGGCCAGTCAGCTTGCTCAGTTCCTACGCCGTCCTAAAGAAGAACATCAACTCGATCTTCTTCGTGCGCTTCAGTATTTCGTCTCGACTCCTGACGCCGGTTTAGTCTACAACATGGTCAGCTGTAAAACACTCTATCTACACGGTTTCGTTGATGCCGACCACGCTGCTGATACTACTAATCGACGCTCTTGTACTGGGTTCATCTATTGACTTGAACCTATCGGGCCTATCTCTTGGAATTCGACGAAGCAGGAACTAATTGCTCTCTCCTCTGCTGAAGCTGAATTCATCGATGTCTGCACAGCAACACGCGAAGGACTTTATCTGCCGGAACTGTTGGAAGAAGTGAAGTTGACGACGACTACCCAGTTTACCCTACAGTGCGACAACCAGAGTGCAATTCGCATCGCGCATCAACTTGGCTTCGTCAACAGGACGAAACATATTTCTTTGCGTTACTTTTTCGTCAAGGATGAAGTCGAGAAGGGGAGAATGCGATTGGTCTACTGTTCGACCAACGAAATGGCTGCCGATTTTCTCACGAAGAAGCTGACACGACAGAAGTTCCAGTACTGCAACAAACTTTGCGGGATCTTCAAGAAGTGACACTATCGAACTTCCAGAAATGAAGGGGAGTGTTGTGGTATAATAGATACTTCACATTTCTAAAAATTGTTCAGTAGTAGTTAGTGTCAAATCCAACTGTAGAACATAAGTCCGTAGGATGACGTCAGCAAATAGCGCTCGTCAGAGGACAATCGTTTCAGTCACACGAACAGCCGCACCTCTTCATTATCATCTAGGGCGCATAGCGCGATAGTGACGAACAGGTACATTAGCGAATAGGTACTTTTCCTAGAACTATAAATCCTTGTCAGGTCTTTTCATTACACATAAGTTCACGTACTCAGGTTATTCAACCTTGACTATTACATTTTACAAGACTTCCGCTGTCTAGTCTACGATTCCAGTAAAGATCCTGGACTAACACTTGAGGATTTCCAAGTGTTTGTGTCTATAGTTTTATACTTAAGTCTTCTACAACATTGGACAAATTATTTCAACGCACACGGAAGTACTGTCTTCCCCCGGTACTGGAGTCCTTCTGTTGCATGGGGTTAGAGCTCTTTGGGGCTAGCTGCCTGTGTGAAGGCTTGCAGGATGTTCCTGCGTGTCGTGAACTGGTCTGCTTTGTCACGGGACAGGGACTGCAAGGGGGGAGACACATGAAACAAGGGGTGGGGGGGAGACATGGTGGAATGGGGAGACACGGGAAGGACGAGAGAAAAAAACAGCTGAGCTCATGCACAGGTGAGCGGGGGTTCATCAGACAACAGCAAAGGGAAGCATCCGCCCATCCATATGCGGCTTCTGTGAGTGCACCAGGGTTGTGTGAGTGCACCAGGGTTGTGTGAGTGCACCAGGGTCGTGTGAGTGCACCAGGGTCGTGTGAGTGCACCAGGGTTGTGTGAGTGCACCAGGGTTGTGTGAGTGCACCAGGGTTGTGTGAGTGCACCAGGGTTGTGTGAGTGCACCAGGGCGTGCGCCAGGGCTTGTGAGTGCGCCAGGGTTGACCATCCCTCACCCCTTGCAGCAGGCGTGTGAGTCGGCCCGTCTCCTTGGCCACATACTCCTCGCCCTGCTCCATGATGCTGCCCATGATCTTGCTGTACACTCCTGCTACCCTGCTGGGTGGGTGGATGGGTGAGTGAGTGAGTGGACGGATAGATGGATGGAGACATAGCAGAGTCTAGTAGTTACCCAGCCACGAGTGACATCATGCATGGTGGGAAGAGCATGCACGGTGGGAACAGTGTACACCGTGGGGAACAGCACGCACAGTAGGAACAGCCCTCCCCACACAGCCCTCCCCACACCGCCCTCCTGCTGCATTCCCCTGCCCCCAATCCCCACGTCCCCGCTGACTCACTTTCTCTCCGCCTCATCCATCCCTGCAGCCACGGCCTCGGCCCGTGCTCTGACCTCCCCTCGCCCCTCCCCCTGTGCAGCCATGAACTCCCCCACCAATGCATCCAGCGCTGGCAGCCGCCCGGACTGGTGGGGGGTGAAGAAATGCAGGACCGGGGATGGGTGGAGGGATTGAACGCACACGTACAGTAGAAGAGACCCAGTTGACCCAGGCATGGACGAGTACGGCAGAAGGATGCGAGCATTGACGGGGGTGCAGAAGTGAGGCCAGGCGAAAAGACTTTTGACTCAAAAGTCATGCAGGCATTGAAAGGGGTGCAGAAGTCTGGAGCTGATTAAGATGGAGCGAAGGGAGAGGATGGTGGGAGCAAGGCAGACAGCAAACCAGGGTACCGCATGGCATGGAACGGCATGTCATTGCATGGCATTGCACGGCATGGCAGCGTACCCCAGGGGAGAGCGTGCCATCAGGCGTGCGGTGGGCGCCGGTCTGCTGGTTGATGAAGGCCACTAGGTCCGGCACGGAGCGCGCCTTGCGGTACTCCTCGCCCACCTTGTTGTGGCGGGGGAACCAGATGAGCGCCGGGGTGACGCTGATGCTGTACCTGCAGGCGATAGGGGGCATGAGGATGGGCATGGCATCATATGAAGGTGACAAGGTTGGTTACAACAATAGCGCACCTCGCAGTAGTTCGTATCAGCCTCGCCCACCTTGTTGTGGTGGGGGAACCGGATGAGAGTCGGTGTGGTTGTGATGCAGTGGTTAGCATGTGGAATGAAAAGCGCATGGAGTGGACATGACAGCACATGACAGCACACGACAGCACACGAAATGTACGCACATCGCACATAAGCACGCCAAATCTAACTGCACGAGTAACACCATGCAGATGGACCATACAAGAAACCAGCCAACATAGTGCATGCCACAATCCGTGCAGCCTCCTGCCTACCTGGCCGTTCCAGTATTCCCTTCTCACATCATCCCACGATCTCCACCTCACGCTCTCCACCCCACTCTCTCCATCCCATGCTGTCCGCCTCTGTACACCTCTCCATCCAACCAATCTCCATCTCACACTCAACAATCCACTTCCCACTCCCTTGCGCGATCTTTGCCCAATTTGACCTCAGCAAACCTTCAAATCTCTCCCCAATCTAGCCATACCCTCTCTCGTCCCCTCGGCCATACATGCCCCTTACCCCTCATCCTGCAGCGGCTGGCGCTCACTTGTGTTTGAGCTCGGGGCATCGGTCCACGTCTACTCGTGCCACCACCACACTTTTCTCCGCCCTGAATGCAGCTGCCACCTTCTCAAACATCTGCGGGTGGTCATGGGGGTGTGGTGGTGGCGATGGTGATGGAGACGGGGAGAGCACAGAGACAGGCTAGGACAGCAAAAGACGGGATGCCGCGGGATACAAGGGTTGTGCCATGCTGTGGCTGGTAGAAGCAGGTCCAAGGTGGGATGAGAATAGCGAGGCAGTGAATGGCGTGCCATGCTGTGTGAGTGGAGGGAGGCTGAGCGGTGCAGGACCGCAAATGGGAAGGAACAGAATCGGAAGAACGGTATGGTGTGTAATGGCATCGCATGGTGCGTCGTGGCATGGCAATAGTATCGTGTGCCATAGCATGGCATGGTGCAGGAGTACAGCCCATGTAGAGTGGGAGGTGGGCTGACTCACAGGAAAAAGGCCTCTGGACTGTCGAGACCTGCATAGGGGGGTGTGAGGGGGGGTGACGGGTAAGAGAGGAAGAAACAGGGGAAGACAGATAGGAGGGATAGCAGAGTCAACAAGGGGGTCAAGTTTAGCCTTTCTTAACTACACTCTCCCCTTTCCTCCGTCTCTCCCTTTTCCCCCCTCGCTTCCCTCTCCCCCCTCTCGTCCCTATCTCCCCTCTCTTTCCCTCTTTCCCAAATGGTCTAGTTAGGAAGTGGTACGGATAAGGTAGGCAAAACACGCATACAAGTCCGAGTTGGAGCACCCTACGAGTTCCCCAACACGGGCTCTAACTAAGTCATGCAGGAGGTCACCCACGGCGGGGAGGTGCTCCGCTGGTTACCCAACGGTCTCTCCTCCCTGGCCAGGGCGTTGTTGATCTCCTCTCTCAAGTGGTACTCCTCTCCTCTTCCCTCCACCCAGGGTTCAAAATTACGGCGTTTTTTATATTTTTAGCCCGTATTTTACGGTTTCGTAATTTACGGCCGTATAATACGAATATTACGGCTCGAAATCACCTTTTTTGGGTTGGTTTAAAAAAACGGCCGTTTTTTATGGCCGTTTTTTTTAAATCTGTGGTGTAAATTCAGAATCTCGAATTCCGTACCAGAATTTTGGGCATGGGGGTGAGCAAGGGGGCAAGAGGACCACAGGGGAGGCGAGAGGAGAGGGAAGAGAGCAGAAAGGGGAGAAGAGGAAAACGGGCAGGAAGAGCAGGGTAAGAGGGGAGGAGAGGGGAGCAGGGTTCAAAATTACGGCGTTTTTTATATTTTTAGCCCGTATTTTACGGTTTCGTAATTTACGGCCGTATAATACGAATATTACGGCTCGAAATCACCTTTTTTGGGTTGGTTCAAAAAAACGGCCGTTTTTTACGGCCGTTTTTTTTTATCTGTGGTGTACAACCAAAATCTCGAATTCCGTACCAGAATTTTGGGTATGGGGGGTACACGCGCACCCCCAAATGTTCATACGTCAAAGTTTTCCGAAGCGCGAATTCACCCGAACCCCGATTCACGCATTTACCAAAATTTCCTTGTGCTGTTATGAAAGAAACCCCCCCTTTCGCGAAACCCGTTGGTTGTTTCGCGCCCAGTAGGGTGGTCTCGCGCAATTTGCGAAACCACCCTGTCGAAGCGTGTTTCAAAAACAGAACCCAATGGATTTTGGTTCTCTTCGAAGCCTTTCTCAACCCAACTTCGAAGTGTGTGAGATACAAATACAGAGGACGTTTTCTAAGCTACCACAGGACGTAGTTTGGAGCGTTTTTCTGGCTGGAATCTAAGCCAGTTTACACTACCGCCTAGCAACTCCAGATTTCCATGTTTGTAGGTGCCATGGTGCATTACTAACCATTCAGTTGACGTTGAAACTGCATAGGAGCCATTCCCCTTCGGAAAAAAAAAACCATGTGCTCTATTTAAATTACGCCGTTTATTTCCCGAACTGCCCGAAAAAAACGGTCGTAATTTACGGACCTTATTATTCGAAAACCGTAATTTTGAACCTTGCCTCCACCTCGTTCTCAACCAGTCAATGTGTCACACGGCTTGAGAATGGATAACAAGCAGGGAAGGAATAGGCAGTGCACGTTCGTACACTATTCACCTCAAAGTGTAGAGCATACTTAAGCATGCCAAAAGCACAACCTTCCCCTCCCCCTCCCCCTCCCCCTTCCCATTCCCATCCCCTTCCCCTCCCGCCACGCACTCACCCCTGAGTGTAGAACATGACGAGCGCGTGCACAGAGTCATCGAGCGCAGCGTGGTTGAAGCTGTCTGTGCACAGAGACAGCACATGGGACACCGCGCCGGGCAGAGTGACACGCGTGCCTGGATGCCATGGAAGGGGGGGAGGAGGATGGGACTAGATTTTATTAGGAGGCTCAAAATGAGCTGTCTGTGCACAGAGACAGCACGTGGGACAGTGCATCGGGTAGCTCTACCCGCGTGCCTGGATGCCATGTGGGGAGGAGGGGGACAGGAAGGGAGGAGAGACGGAGGGAGGAGCGGATGCTTTGAGCTGCCCTGCCACCCTCTTTCCTATGTGTGGAGCATGTTGTGCGCAGATGCGTTGGGGTAAAGGCCAGAAGTACAGCGTCGAAAGGGACGGACGGAAAGACATGGGCAAAGGGAAGTTGGGGAGTGGAGGGGGGAGAAGAGAGAGGCTGGGGCGGAGAGAACCTGGGTCAAGGAAGCAAGCCAAGATGAAAGTAAATGCGCTTCTATTCAATGGAACGGATAAGGGAGAAGGGTTGTGGTGGGGAATAAGAGGCACAGGAGTGGGAAGAAATGGCAGGAAGAGAGGAGGCAGATGAGATGGCCCGCACCAAGCTTTTCATTGATGAAGTTGAGAAAGTCGTCCGCGTCCCTCCGGCCTTTGAAGCTGAGGGACCAGAGAGGGATGGGAGAGTGGGACTGTGGGATGGACGGAAGAGGAAAGCAAGTGACGATGTCAGCTGGCGCATGAAGGGATGTTCGCTAGCTGGCAGAGGAACGAACGGGGCACGGGGGAAAGGCACACAGGAGACGAGGACGCAGGAAGAGGGTGCTTGTAAAAAAAGGGTAGAGAGAAGTCAAAGGTTGAAAGGGTCGAACGCTCAAAAGGTTGGAGGATGGTACTTCTCAGGTGTGGTGTGGTGGGCGGAGAACCATCTGAAGGTGGGGAAGCTGCGAATGGCGTGCTGCGAGCACAGGTCCTTGTGCTCGTCGCAGTTCACCTGGGGTGGAGAAGGGGGGAGAAAGGGGAAGGAGGGGGCAGGGGGACGTGAATGGGAGAGCCGGGGAGACACTTGTGTCGACTCAAAAGACGTGAATGGCGTGTTGGGACCACAAGTCCTTGTGCTCGTCCCAGACGTATTGGGCGAGGGCAGCCGTTGGAATGGAGGAGAGATAGTACGGGAGTGTGAGGGGAGGTGACTGGGATTCTGCAGTCTGTGAGACAGCGGAGGGGTGGGGGTGGAAGACAATAGGTGGGTAGTTTGTGAGGGTGTGCATGCATGGGCGATGGAGGTCTGTGTAGCTTAGCAGCTGCACTCCGTAGGGACCATGGAGGCATGGTGCATGGTGTATGGTGCACGCGACATGCCCCACGCCACATTCCACACGAAACATGCCCCACCATGCCCCACCATGCCCCACCATGCCGCACCACCCCCTCGTGCCTTCACCTTGCCCACAGCCAGCGCCGGCACGTCCTTCACAGCCCCCGCCACCCGCTCATACTCCGGCGCCACCTTCTGGCAGTGCCCGCACCTGGTGGCCGCCCCGGGAGGCGGGGGAAAGGGGAGGGGAGGGGGGAGGATTCGGGAACAGGGGGAAGGCGGGAGGGTGCGTGTGTGAGGAGGGGAAGTGGTTGGGCGTGGGTTGTTGAAGCCGCGACAGCAGGCGGTGGTGGGGGGGAAGGGGAGTGCGCCACACGCAGCTTGCAGCATGCGGCACGCTGTGCACTGCACAAGCCGCTGCGCCTACGACATCCGTCTGCGACACATGCAACACGCAACATGTGCCATGCGGCACGCTGTGTCTGCACTGCACACGCCGGTGCTCCTACGACATCCGCATGCGACACGTGCAGCACACAGCACGGAGCACGCCAGGCGCAGCGCACACTGCTGCGCCCACAGCATCCGCGTGCGACAGCCTCTCTTCTTCGCCACGCGCGGTGCCTCACGCTACTCCCGCTGGCGCATGGGCGCCTTACGAAGTGCCCCTCCACTACCCGTTGCTCTTGGTACCTCCCGTTCTACGGTCCACCCAGCCATACCGGCTCACATGCTCCCCCCACCTCCCCACTCTGGGCCTCACCCCTCGCCTCACCCCTCGCCTCACCCCTCGCCTGACTATGCGCGTACGAGCCATTGCCAGCGCAAGCAACAACCACCCCTCCCCTCTCCCCCCCCCCCCCCCCATCTCCCCTTTTCCCGTGTAGCACAAGGATGCGCACCATGGCGCGTACAACACCACAGACACGGCCCTCTCCCCTCCCACATAGACACGGTTCTAGCTTCAAACGCGTACCATGGCGCGAAGAACTTCACGAACACGGCCCTCTCCCCTCCGACGTATTCGCCGAAGTTCGCAGGCGTCAAGTCGACGACGTGCGAAGAGGCGGCGAGAAGCGAACAGGAAAGGAGGAGCAAGGGGAGGGCTAGGAGGGCGAGGAGGTGAGGAAAGCCTTTCGAAAACATGGTGGTTGTGGTGGAGAGCTTGGGGTTAGGGGAATGGATGGCACGCGAAAACAGCAAAGATTGGAGATGCGACTCCGTATCCGCTCTACTAGCCTCTCCTTCATCCGTCTGCATGGATTTTTAGTGGTTTCACTTTCACCCTGCTGTGTAAAACATTATTATTCTCCTGACTGGTTGCATAACTAGCCTACTGTTATACTTTTCGTGGATTTTGCAAGCCAAAGTCACCACTTATAAAACAAGAGGCGAAGAAATCGTCTTAGGATTGCGGAGCATTCCATAATTTTAAATAAAAACTTTAAATATGCTTTTCTATAACACATCTTTCTCATTCTATTTGGCTGTTCAAAGAACAATTGTGCCATGTGTCAAACATATCTTTGTCTGTTGTTATAGACTACACAGGTTTGTGCCTTAGAGAGTACAACCCATTAGGTTATATTCTCTTGTATCCCATGCTTCTATTCATTCGTTAACTTTTAACATGGTATCATGAGTATGTTAGGTCCACCCCGCCCACTAGAGCTTCTGCCCTAGGTCCTAGCCGCCCCGTTGCCCTCCCGCCCGTGCTGGCCCCTCCCCTAGTGGCCCTCGTCGCCTAGCCGGCCCCGTAGCCCAGCCGGCCCTGCCTCCTAGCCGTCCCCGTCGCCTAGCCGGGCCCATCGCCCAGCTGGCCCCGTCGCCTAGCCGGCCCCGTCGCCCAGCCGGCCCCGTAGCTCAGCCGGGCCCGCCTCCTAGCCGACTACGTCGCCTAGCCGGCCCCGTTGCCTAGCTGGCCCCGTTGCCTAGCCGGCCCCGTTGCCTAGCCCACCCTATCGCCCAGCCGGCCCCGTCGCTTAGCCGGCCCCGTCGCCTAGCCGGCCCTGACGCCTAGCTGGCCCCGTCGCCCAGCCGGCCCTGTCGCCTAATTGGCCCCGTCGCCCAGCCAGCCTTGTCGCCTAGCTGGCCCCGTCGCCCAGCCGGCCCCGTCGCCTCGCCGGCCCCGTCGCCTAGCCGACCCCGTCGCCTAGCCTGACCCGTTGCCTAACCGGCCCCGTTGCCTAGTCGGCCCCGTCTCCCAGCCGGTCTCGTCGCCCAGCCGGTCCCGTCGCCTAGCCGGCCCCCTGTCGCCCAGCCAGCCCCGTCGCCTAGCCGGCCCCGTCCCTCAGCCGGCCCCGTCACCTCACCGCCTAGCCGGCCCCGTCGCCTCGCCGCCAACGGCTCCGTCTCGTAGCTGCCTCGCGGCCCCCGTCCCTCTGCTGCCCCTGCGCCCCCCCCCCACACCGCTTCATTGGCCCTCTCCACTGCATCACACCGCACTGCACCGCACTACACCGCACTGCACCGCCCTGCACCATACTGCACTGCACCCTACCGTACTGCACCTCAGTCTACCGCCGTCTACCGCATTGCACCGCAACGCACCGCACACTATTGCTTCGCGCCGCACTCTAACGCTCCGTCCTGCCCAGCACCGCCTTACTGCTGCTGCAGCAACCATGATGGCGGACTCAGTCCTGCGTATTGATGCGGAGGGTCAGCCGGTTGAGTTCGACACGTGGCTCGTCGACCTTCGCCGCCACCTCACTGGTTAGCGGCAGGACGGCCACTCCCTGGCCGTCCACATCGACGGTACGCTCCCCTGTCCTGACCCCCCTGCTGCTCTACCCGCTGACCCCTTAATTGCGGACCGTGAGTCCTCTGCCGCTGCTGTCTGGTTGTCGCGTAACGCTATCGCTTAGATCGCGATTAGTCATGCCCTCCCCCTGTCCGAGCGCTCCCGCTTTAAGTCGGTCAGAACTGCACAGGAGTTCCTAGAGGCTGTTGTCGCGCGCTATTCCACCTCGCCCTCTGCCTCCGTCGGTCGACTGATCCTGCTCATGCTCTTTCCTGATCTCGCGTCTTTCTCCACTGTCGCTGACCTACTGTAGCTGCCCACCTGCGCACGCTAGACACGACCTGGCGTGCTGCATGCACTGAGGCCCAGCTTTGTGTGTTTCAGCCCCCCATCTGCTCTACCCTCTACCTGCTTGCCACCCGCCTCCCTGACTGCCTTGCTACAACCCGCGATCACTTCCTTAGTCTCCACCCCGCTGACCTCACCCTCACTGACTTTGTCAACACCCTATCTGCCATAGAGACCCGCCAGCGCGCTATTGCCCAATCTAGCTGTATTGTGCGGGTCACTATCTTTCAGGGCTGTGCCCCCGCTCAGTGCACTTACTCTGACAGTTCTGCTGCTGTCGTTGAGACAGCCCCTGCTGCGGAGACAGCCGCGGCTGCCGCAACGCAGTTTCATCCGGGTAAGGTTCGCTGTCCCAAGGTTGGGTGCGGTGGAGGTAGCGGAGGAGGGGGTGGAGGCAGTGATGGAGGTGGTTTGCCTGCTGGTAGTACTGACAAGGGGGCTGGGGCTGGTGCCGCGGAGCAGCAGCCCCAGCAGCAGCAGTAGCAGCAGGCGCCGCAGCAGGACCAGCAGTAGCAGCAGCAGGCGTTGCAACAGCCGCCACAGCAGCAGCAGCGGCGGGTCGGCCGTCTCCTGCCCGGGTGGCTGAGCGCCGGTAGTAGCGGTGGTCACAGTGGTCGTGCGCGTGGCGTGACGTCGGGTGGTGGTCCGAGTGACGGGCACTACAAGTACCTGCTCCATACCGATCCTCGCCCCGGCCTCGTGTGCAGTAAGATCGGCCATACCCCCACTCGTTGCTTCAGTAGCCTAGACGACCTGTTTCGTCTCTGCTTCGGCCCGTCGCCAGACCTCTCCAACAGGCACAGTCTGCTTCACTGTGGTGTTAGGATTTTTGGTATGGACATGGATGAGATTAGCTCTACTTTGTATGTGCTGTATTTCGATGACTCTAGTGTGACTGGTTCCTATTACCCTGTGTTGCCTAGTGTCGCTGTGCCCAGTGTGCTTAGTTAAGGTTCCCCTGTTGCGTCAGGCGTAGGATCCCCTGCCTTGTTTAGCCTTGGATCCTCTCTCGCTCCTCCGACCCCTGTCGCCACTGCCGCGCTCTCCTTCACCCTGGACTTCGGTGCTTCCCGGTGTTTCTTTCGGGACTCCACTACGCTTACGCCGCTTGCTGCTCCCACCGCAATTGCTCTTGCAGACCCTTCCTACAGTCCGGTAGCCGCCCGTAGCTCCACCACCCTTCCCTATCTGGCGGCTCCCTCGGGCTCCCTTACAGGCCTTCACCTCCCCTCGTTCTCTAGGAACCTAGTTGGTGTCGGCTGCCTCCAGGACCTTGGCGTCACCACTACGTTCCCTGGTCACGAGCGGTACACTGTCTGTACCGAGGCCGTCACTGGTACCCCCCTCACCACGTTCCCTCGAGGCCCGGTGTCTGGCCTGTTCACGCTGGACACCGCGTCCCCCCTGGTTGGGACGCCTCCCCAGGTGGCACCGTCTACCCAGTTTGCTGCGGCTTACTTGTGTCGGTCGCTTACTCACGCGTCGCTTCTGTGGCACCACCGTCTAGGTCACCCCGCTCTCACTCATCTCCGTTACACGTCCCAGTACGATCTTGTCTTAGGTCTCCCTGAGTCGTTACCAGCGCCGCCGTGCACGCCTTGCGTCGAGGGCCGGCTCCGCCGTGCCCCTCACTCCTCCTCGTTCCCCCAAACCGCCGCACCGTTGCAGACCCTGAACATGGACGTCTAGGGCCCGGCCCCCGTCCATGGGCCGCGTCGCGAGCGCTACTTCCTAGTGCTTGTCGACCACTACACGCGCTACATCACCGTGTTTCCTCTGGAGCAGAAGGCTGACGTGTCCGACGTTCTTATCCCGTGGCTTGTCTCTGCCCGTGTGCGCCGAGGTCTCCCTGTGTTGCGTCTTCACTCTTACCGCGGTGGCGAGTTCGCCTCTGGTAGCCTTGGTCGTTTCGGTCGTGCGGAGGGCATCACCTAGGCATTCACCCTGCTGGACTCCCCACAGCAAAATGGGGTCGCTCAGGGACGCATCGGTTTGGTCATGGAGGTGGCTTGTACCTCCATGATCCACGCCGGCGCACCCCATTTTCTGTGGCCGTTCGCCTTTCGCTACGCCGCTCACCAGCTTAACCTGTGGCCGCACCCTCATCGACGGTAGGTTTCGCCGACCCTTCCCGAAACCGTGTCCCCTGGTGACGCGTTTGCGATCCACGTTTGGGACTGCCTTCCGCACGTTCATGCCTCTGGCACGAACAAGCTCACTGCCCGCAACCTCCCCTTTGTCTTCCTAGGTTTCCCCCTCGACTCGTCCGACTGGAACTTCTACCAGCCGCCCTCTCACCACTTCTTTCACTCCCACAACGTCACCTTTGACGAGTCCGTCTCCATTTACCACCACTTTCCCCTCCGTGGTCCCCTGGTTACCCCCCCCGCCGTTCCTGGTTCCTCCTCCCCCGGTCGCCCCAGCTCCCCCCCCTCCCCTCCCTGCCCTGTCCGGTGTGTCTCACATCACCCCCCTCCTGTGGGGTGTCCCTGCTGAGGAGTTTACTGACTCCCGTGGCTCTGCGGAATCCGTTCCTCCGCCCCTCCCCACCCCGACCTCTCCTTCCCCGTCACCGCCGCAGCCGCCTCCGCCGCTGCCGTCCTCACCGCCACTAGGGTTCGTGCGTTTTGGGGGTGCTAGGGAGCATGCTGGAGCGGGTGCTGGAGCGGGTTCCCGTTCTGGGGTTGCTGGCGTGGAGCTTCTTGGAGGGAGCTGTGCAGTCACCGGAGGTTCTGTTGTTGGAGTCGAGCAGCAGCCACAAAAGACGTCGCCTGTGTTCGCTCCTTGCCTCCTCGGTCTTCCTTCCCCTGACCGCCTGCCGGTACCTCCTCCGTCGCTGCCGCCTCCTCCTCCGCTGGTCTACGGCCCAGAGTTTCCTTCCATAACTTATTGGTGAACTTGGGGTCTAGGTCGGAGATAAGTGTGGTTTGAATGCCATGTTGTAAGATGATGTAGCGAACGAATAGTTGGGCTGTCTCTTCGGTGCGTGCTATCATGTGTGTCGGGATGAAGTGTCACATTTAGGAGAATTTGACGCTGATGACGAGGATTGCGTCATGACCGCTTGTGG